TTTGTGCATCTCCTCGATTTTACACCCCACTCAAGTATTGCGTTGCCGATCCGTCTCGGAGAGGTCTCGCAATGCTACAATGTAACTTGGAAATCGCGCGTTGAGCACTGATTTTAGCTTCCCCATTAACCTGCGTGCAGTCTCAGGCCAGCAATGCATGTTCCATGGAATTTTTAATGCACATCAGATAGTTTTATTTTCTGTGAGTAGCCAAATCGTCTGAAATGTGACTTTCGCCATCTCCTACTCTTATAACTCGTGTTTTTAGAAGAATTGCGAACATTTCTTGAGAGCCCAAAGTTCTCTTCCAATTGGTCAAGCCTTATCCGATGGCCCTTGTATACACTTGTTCTTACCGATATCATCGATGTAGATCCGCAATCAGGGTGTGAATGAGGTGCAAGGATAGACTAATAAAGTCATAGGCCACTTTTCTAAGGCAGCGTAATCGAGAGCCTTCCTTGTTATAACGTCTGTATCAAAGGCATGGAGCCTCGTTGGAGTTGTATCAATAGCAGACGGAGGGTTGGCAAAGCAGTTCGAGTGGTTAGCGGTACCTCATCCTGTGCAAGGCCGCAGATATTTCGGCTACAATCGTACATTTGATCAACTTCTCTCCTGCATGACGCATGGTGGAGGGCATCATTATTCACAGCGCCTGAGAGGCTTATGACTTACTTCCATTATTTGCAGAATCCTGAACTAATTAACATGAATACAATCGTTTATGGGTGGAAACGAATAGAAATATAGCAACAATGATACGACTGTGATTTTTGGATCATCATGCACTTAAAATATATTGAGGCAACGAGGAATACTGACAGTCCCATTTTGGTCTACTCCTTAATCATACCTGACAAATGGAACATAAAGCGAGAGAAAATTACAAGAGATGAGACGTGCCTTTTTTTCACGACACTGAACCGCATGCTTAATTGTGGCAAGGTGATACTGTGTGTCTCCGTCTGGCGTGATGTCGTTGGCGGTGAGCAGGGAGTGCACCTCGTCGGATGTTCTGCATAAATCCAGGCAGCTCACCGCAAAGTTCATCGACTGAACTGCTAATCGGGAATACTCCTCCTAAAGAGGCAGACATCAGCTTCCCTATTGTAGTCTTAAGTTCATCACATCGCGGTATAACCAAACTAAAAAATGATATTGTTGACTTCGTACTTTCTCCAAATTATCCTGCGCCCCATCGAAACAATAAACGTGTACACATACATTGCTAGTATTTGAGACACGAAATTTCATGAATAATGAAACCGTACTCGGGAGGTTTTTATTAGTTTGCTTATAAAAAGACGACTTGAAAATAGCTTTAAAAGGACATGATGCTGCAATCGGCATAGCGTTTTGGGCATCAAGAGATGAAAGCACTCGAAACTTTTAATCAAGTGGATTATTGGTGAAGAATGCTCCTTAAAAATTTTAAGAGAAGAGGTCCCGAAGGCAGCCGATAACTCGCCTTAAACTGCTTTTCCTGGGAAGCGAGTTGATAAAGTTCTCCTCGAAGCGTGAAGGCGGAGGATACAGGATCGCAGGTGGTGAGGGCCAAGTAGGCCGAGCTGGTCAGTGCTTGGTAGGTGTGCAGTCGTTGCATCTCCAGGATCAAGGAATCCTGTCCACAAGACGATGGAAAGACACATCGTTTGTGGCCACTGTACACTCACGCAATCCTATACATCTCAGGAAATCCGTTTGTACGACTTAATGCATTAGCGTTTAACTTTGATGTATCCATTATGAACGAACTTAAAAGAGAATACGACAAGAATCAAGCTCTCTTATTAACACACGCAATGCAGAAGAACGTTAGCAAAAACTGGTTTACACCATTCAACACATTTAGAATGCCGCAATATCTTAATACGTTTCACAGTAAATGCTATCATGAGGAGAAATGGAGTAAAGAGCTGGTTTGAGGGTAGTCTTTAAATTAGGATTGCATTCCCACGAAAGTGATAGTGGGAAGCTCCATTAAAATTGTCTGTGGTAAATCCTTATGGAAATGGCACTTGTAAAAAAAGTCTACAAAATTGGTGCAACCATTTAACTGCTGTTAAAGGGATTCATTATTCGATGGAATTTAGCAAATTTTGTGTACGAATTTAAGGAAGGAAGGAGGTTTGCGGGGGATTGCAGTACATCGTGGCTTTGGCATTTACAAAGTTTGCTACGCAATCTGCATTTTTGCTTTAATATCCAACCCAGCGGAAATTCATGACGCATGCAAACAGCCAAGTCATTTTTTGGTATACAGGACACCCTTATGACAATTTCACTGTTTTGATGTGAAATTGTTCATCGTAGGCTCTTTACCACATTATAGTAAACGAGATGCCTGACAAAGGCACCAAAACGTTGGAGCATTGAGAGTTGCTGTTGAAATCCTGGTCCGTCATTGGGAGGGCTCAGCACATCGCAAAGCCTTATTCCACTGCTTCACTCAACTTTTGTTGCCAACACTTAAAGCTCTCAACACATTGTCATCCCAACGAAATTATTGAGCAAAAAAGCTGCTGAAACATGCACCCACTTCTTTCCCGTTTATAGTCACTATTAATCTCTTGACGTCTATTAACCACTTAAATTTATAATATTCATAGTCTATTTAAGCGATAGTAAGACTGAACTGCTGGTATTGCCAAGCACCTTGAAGGGACGAATTTGCGCAAGTGCCTTGAATTCGTTCACCCATCAATTAGTTGCAGTACTGCGCAGCAAAGTGAAATTGTGCAAAAATTGGACACCTCAATGCAGTCAGGCTAATCGCGGAGGAGAGCGCATACAGATATGGTCTCACTCGTTTATGGTCTAGCGTTAGGCCATTAGCACCGGCAAAATATGCAATCACTGCAGTTAAAAGAGATTTTATCTAAACTAGGATCTCCATTTGATTGCCTCTGCCCTGTGACTATGATTGCAGTGGAGAACCGCCTCTTTAAAAGCAGTAAAGTTGACGCCTTCAGAACACATTTGGTAAAATTATGATTCGAAGGTAAAAAAACGAGGAGGATAAGAAAAAGGTCAACTCAGAGAAAAGAAGCGGAAGTGGAAAGGTGGAAGTCATTTATAACCTACCTCTTTAAACGAAGAAGTATGGGTGTTTTCCTTGCTCTCGTAAGTGGCAGTCTGCCTTATCGGTTTCATAATCTTACAGTGGAAGCTGCAACAAATCCGGATTGCATGCATTTACCGCAACGCAAAGGGAGCTTAAGGCTTGTGCTGCGCATTCCAATAGTCAGAGGATATCGCCTCCGACTTAAGTCAGCCGGAGAACAAGCACAGATATACAGCCAAACAAGATGAGCAATATTTGCATAACAACTGTTAATTATACCGCCATTAGATTAAACTGCTTCACATCCTCCCACTGTCATCGTGCCTCTCCGCCAGTCATAGCAACTTGATTGAGAATGGTTAAAGGTGTTTATTCCCTTCATAGACAATATTAAAACCTTCGTCGATACAATGTTTAAAGCAACTATTCTCACTTTAGCATGAGTCAACTCATGCGGGTCGAGAACATGACCTCTATTAAATCACGACGTAATTGTCTTTACGAGGTGGACATTCAATGGGTGCGAGTAGGGACCCTTGCGTGGATAGAGTGGGAGGCTGTGAATCCACGTTGCATTTGATGACCGGTCATTGGAAGAAGCACGGCTTTGAATGGCGTGGAGAGATGTCAACCAAATATCAGCTTTTTGCTACCTAAATTGCATTATTAAATTAAGGCTTATAAAAGCTTACACTGCTATTCGAAAATGTCCATTCTCTCCTGCAGACGCAAATGCAGGAGTATCTTATTAATGCAGCCGTATAGCAATTAGGAGGAGTTTCGTATTCCAATGGGAAACAGGTAGTCATGAATTTTTACTTGCTGTAAATGCTGTGTTTTCCATTTGTGTTTCATGGGTGCGTGAGTTAAATGGATTTCTCTTGCCCAAAAATAGTTGGGAGAAGTGTCGCCTTACACAGTCACACTGATGTGACGCAGGAAGGAAGATAATCAAGCACGTAGATTATCGTGCGCATTTAGTTTTGAGTTTTTGTGGGACGCATTACTGAATAAATCCGAGTAAATTAATACGAAAGACTTCTTACGGTGAAACTCATAGTAGGTCGTTGCATAAGCACTCGAAAAGTACCGAACACCAACTATTTCCTGACTGTGTTCTCCTACCGCGTAAACTTTCCGTCATTCCACTTGTCATCGAATTGGGCATGCAAAGAGTAAAATTGACATGAGGGCAGTCTTTATTGCAAGGCTATCAACGATCTGCTGACTTGAGAGCGTACGGATGGCTAATGCACAGCTTAACAGCACAAAGTCATGCGGCTCGAAGGACGTATTTATTAAGAGTATAACTGATTTGTCTCGTGATCTGCCTTCATTGCCAAACAATCAAAGGGATGAAAGTTTTAATGTATGCAGGTTGGATTTAATGGTACTCCTAATTAAGTAGAATTTATCCATTCTTAAAGGGGCTCACAGGGGATCACTGGCCGAGCCGCCAACAAACGGTGCAATTAATAGCATGATCGGAATATGTAAAAGCAAAACTGCTCTCCCATTCAACCATACTTCTTCAATCAGTGCTACATCTTTACTACTACATTACATTTTGACGGTAGCATGCATATTTTTTGTGACAATGGCATCGCATGCATTCATTATGTCCTAAAGCAAAACATATCATTGCTTCCATAAAGCAAATTTGGGTAAAATGGTGGTAAAAATAATCAACTTCTTCATCGTAATAAATGAACTGCCTAGCGTTTTTGAGTTCAGGAAATAGCGATGGCTTGCCTGGGCCCTCATGGATTCGCAATCCAAGCAGAGGCAACTCCTATCATGTGGCATTTCGAGTTTGAAACCGCGATCGAGCAGGAGTTGAATGATCTCGTGATTGTTCGTATGCGCAGCCAGCATGAGGGGAGTTATGTCAGCAGAGAACTGCGATCTCTCGGTACACTTGCCTATCAGGCCAGCTCGCTGACCTCTAGGCGACATGATCTTTTCCATACGAATGTACTGGGGGTGGTCAATGATAAGTTTCACTATGTGGATTTTCTCCTGACTAATGGCATTTAGAAGGGCGTCTTCAACTGCATAAAAACTTAATCTTCCAACCAAAGCTCCAATTAGTTCAATATTTTCAGTCTTCATTGCCAGTAAAACTGCATTCCTCCCCATGTAGTCCACGCAGTCAACATTCAAGGTGGGATCATCTAGCAGTTCTCGAACAATCTCAACCTCACCAAACTCGGCAGCATTGAGGAATACATACTCCTTGTCATGAAGTTGACTCTTAAAAACAAGTCCATTTCCAGACGCCAATTTTAGCCCTGCAACCGTATCCTTTTTGGCCTTGCCCATCTGCGCTACTGAGCTTGCTGGTTCAGTCAAGAGTGGCGCCAAAGCGATGGTGGTCTTCGAAGATTCTTTCTGAAATTGCACTCCTGACTCCCGCCAATCACTTCGTGCACTTTTACACATCGAAGGTATTATGTCAGGTCCTGTGCCGGTCTTCACCCCTGCTGATGTCTCACCACCACCCCCACCACTAATGGAAAGACTGGCTAGTAGCACTCTGGTAGCTGGTGTTGAGAGAAGCACACCAGTACCAATACCCTTCGGTAACTTCTTGCAGCTTCTTTTAATTCGGTCGTTAATTAACTCAGTACATATGCGCGTATTTACGTCAATGAGTTTACCATCATCATCTGGTGGGGCAACGCTTGTGCAGGCAGAGCTGGGGGAGGGACGAGAGACGAGTGTTGCACATTCGGGCCCAACTTCAGTTCGATTGAAGTCATCAAAAGCATCTTGAGCATCACCACTGCTCCCAACATTGGCATTATCTGCGGTAGAGGACCCGCTGCTCCCTGTTGAATTATAGGTGAAGTCTGAGTGTAGTTGTGCTTTTGAGTAGTGCGTCGTGTTAGATGCTTCTGTACTTGCTTGCTGAGTTTTCTGCGATTGAGCACTGAGTGCAACAGACTTGTGAGTAAAAACCTGCCGCAATATTGACGATTTTAAAGGTCTGGCCTGTAACGCTGGCGTTATTGTATTGCCTGTCTCCTCTACTTCGTTGGAAGCCGTCCTGGTTTTATGCACTTTATTCCTCCAATGTACACTGCGGTTTTTGATGGATCCTGAGAGTGGAACTATCTGTTTACACCACAAGGTGAATTTTTCGTTTTGATCGCCAGATTGCTCAGAGCCTTTTTGGTCTTCGGCGACAAGGGGTTCGGTGCTTGCGCTCCCTTGAGGCAGTCTAAACATCCTTAATGAACCCATGTGCAACTGCTGACTCGTGTGTTTGGTGTACCAGTAAAACACTGCAAATGCACACTCACACGAGGGACATTGAAAGCTCAAGTGGCCAATGGCTTGTAGTTAACGGCACGGCCAACCCGTTTCCTTCAAATGCGTTCTTTGTTAATCACGCAAACAGAACTGCCACAGCGGTGTTTTCGTTGGTCTACCATCACCATATGCGTCTCATTGACGAGCGTGCTAGATCACTGCGAGGGAGTACTCCAATTCTTTCCTTTTATGATTTGTACTTAACTATTTTTGCGAATTTTATCCAAGACTTCATGTGACTTTGCACTCATTTAGGTGAATCGTTTCAATTCCATGTTATTTGACACGAAATTTATGCTGTTTTCTGTGAGGAAAAAATTCCAAAAAATACTTTGCGGTTCAAGTAGTCACTCGCTGTGACGACGCTACATTGTGTCTGCTTGCTTCGTTTGGCTAGTAGAGATGACGTCTAGGGAAAAAGAGATGCAGTCCAATTGTGTAAGCATAACCTACTGAATTATCAGGGGTTCCAATGTCGGAGATTCAACTTCGAATCCTACTTAGACAGGTCAGCTCTTAGCCAAACAAAACGGGAAGCAGTATTACAGGGCCTCTAAAACTAATATAAAATCTGATGCAATCATTTCGCATATAGCACCTGCGATTTTGGTTTAAGAACCCATCTTAGTGGAATCAATCGAAATCGAATAAGTACAAAGGGGTGCATACGATACTACTTATTTTCATTGCGTAATGGCTTGCACGTCTTCATGTGTGTGGCATGTTCTATTTAATCTCACCAGATTTTTGTCCGAAAGATAATGCTGTAACGTTTCGACGATTTGCCGAATTTAAAGCCTGATTAGGCGACCTCTCCAAACTCCGGCGATTGCAGGCTTGTTCGCCGATATGTTCTCACGCCGTCTTGACCGCTTGTGATCTCTGGCACTGATCGGGGCAGGTCACTGCAGCACTAACATCGGAGGCAAGCCACAATTTTAGCCTTATTCGGAATGGCATTATCAAAAAGTACAAATGCCTGTTTATCAAGTGCAAACAATTTTATAGGTTCCTTTGGTAAGGGAATGCCTTGTTTTCCTTATTACATGCACCCATTCAAGGGGCTGACTCTTGTAGAGTGAACCAGTATTATATAATGGCCACCACAGGCTTCTAAGTCTAAAAGACTTACTTATTTAAGTCCAGACTTTGGATTTATTGGGCATGGCTGTATCGAGAGCTATTGGTTCATAGTCTTGTCTAAAGATAATCCAACATCCCTGTAGAGAGTACCTGAAAAAATCAAAGGTGAGATGAAATTGGATTTACGAAACACTTTCCGTTTATGCTCCAATTAATTTCTTCTTTAAAGGCTTTCCATTCTGTTATCATTTCCGTGGTCATGTTTCGACGACATTGAGTAGAGGGAAGTGTGCTGAAGTAGGTACCATGAAACATGCAAAGATTATCACATTTTCCGAAGGAAATAGTTTTTGTCTTTTTCTCAGATTGGGGCACAGTGAACTCAAATGCAAGACATTTTTGGTTGTCCGTTGCTCAAAGACTTTGTTCAACCAACTGGATGCCACTCCGCTAGGTGAACCTGACTTATAAGGAAGAAGTTCTTACATTTCGCCATTATTAGGGACAATTCAATCTCAACCCTAGTACCATTATAGGTAATTAATGTGGTCAGTGAATGCTACCACCCTTGAACACACTTAATTACCAGGACTGTACCGCAAGTTGGACATCGGTAATGCTCCAGTCGTTGCGTGCGCTACATAGCCGTACAAAAAATGAGGAGCTAAAGGACAATTCTTAGAATATGAAGACGGGGAGTCACCTTAGAAGCGATAAATGGCAATTTCAACTTTCGGTATTTTAATTAGCAAACCGGACCGAGAATTTTATGTGTCCTATTTATGGCCCATTAGCAATAAAAGTTGTTAAGCCTTAGAACTACTTATAAGTTATTCATTCATGATTCTTGCATCGCGACATTCAAAAAGCGTGTAATTTGGGTCGAAGCTGCATAAATTTAACGCTTTTCACCAAGTCATGCCAAAAAAATTAGTGTGGTGCTGCATGCAAGGATTGTGAGAAAGTGTTCCACCGATATCCTTTTGCTCTAATATAAGAGTCAAATGGTGCCTTATGGACTGGCGCCGTAGAAACATTACCTCGGTTGTACCGGAACATCAAAGCTTATTAATAAAAAAGAAATCGTGGAGCTTAGTGGCGAATGTTAAAAACCTGCTTATGCTCCACTTTGGGTCACTTTGTGATCACTGAGCGTTGGATTAAAGATGTGATTGTCATCGCAACTGGGGGAATTAAATAAATATAAAAGTAATATTTTGCTCAACCTCAGAGCAATACCCTGAAGTCTGAAGTATTAAGTCAAAAGAGCTATTGACTTAAAGAAAATGTGCTTTCTCGTCATCTGGTATTAATATAATTCCTGTACAGCGTCGAGGCCTCCCGTAACGGGACCCCGAAATCAGGTGGAGTCGTGCCTGTCACAGAGCAGTCAGGGTCCAAAACAAATGCGATCGTTTTTTTTGCAAAGAAACTGGAGAACAACGAAAATGATGGTACGGATATCATGATTGTCTTACAAAAAATCTGCTTCATTTCCTGATCAGAGACCTTCAATACCTCGCAACTAATACTATATTTTTGAGTCTGTCAAAATGAGCATTTGCAAGTACTTTACTTCAGCGCATTTTCTGCTCATTCTCTTCAACTAAAACTCAACTTCGACACAATTTTAGTGCTGCAGCTGCGACTCCTTTCATTCTGCATTACTTTTGAACCAGTGCTTTGAAGAACAAATCGGTCTTGATACTTCAAAACACTGTTAAAAGTTTGTGAATTTTGATGGAGCCCTTCCCCGACCATATCTACGAACAGTAGTCTTGATGATTCTGTAGTGTTGTAGCATTTCTTACATTTAATTGAAATTCGTTTTAGGGTTTTATACAGAAAGCCTTCAAGCAAATACGCTGCAGTACAGTTGGATAAATTTCGGTTGAATGGACTATCTTTAAAATAATTTGTAATAGCAACCACTATGTTTTTCTGAACTCTCTCACTAAATTTATTGTGATCCTAAAAAACCTATGATAGTGTGAAGGTTCGAGCTTAAAACCGGAATGTGTTCCTTTCCCTTAGGACCGCTTAAAGTTGTTCTGTAGTTGAAAGGCTAAGTCATTTACTCTGCGCGAGTAATCCAATGTATACATGGGCAATTTATCAGCCCTTCTTGAACGCCTCTACCGGAAGGCACATTACTGTCCTCTAATTTCTGTCATGGTAATGCCGCCAAAGTTGCTAAATTGGTTGCAACGGCGGTAAAATGTCACTGAGAATGTCACAATACTATTAGTGATTAAAAAACAATAAATAACGGTGATAAATGGAAGTCAGACCGGAATGGAAAGTGGTACAGTTTTCCTTCAAAACCAATTTCCAAAAGTGGGTTGCAGTTTCAAAGCTAACATAAACCGGTGCACCCCTGCTGCTTTTAGCCGATATGCCCCTTACGTCAATAATAAAACAGCCTTGTTTTTAATATCAGAGGCTGTAGATTATTGCCGCTGAAGCGGAACAGAGTTATTTAAATGACTGTCAGAGTAATTTTAAGGAGAACCAACATTGGTTCGTTGGAAACTATCAGCAAGTGACCTTTCAGATGAACTTTGAATCGTGAGACACACCTATTGCTTACAATAATGATCTCGTTCCAGCTTTGATTGCTCGTCTGTGTTAATAACAACAAACGTCAATTTCGCATTAACTATTTTGCACGGGTCCAGTGTTAGCCACTAGTGATCGCAGTGATTTGGAACAAGTTTTTTGCCGAGGATGCATCTGATTTTGACTATCGTGAATGAGTAAGAATAGCGTTTTGATTTTCTACCCATGGCAGCTAGTGCTTTTTACTAGTCTGCAATGACTCAAGGTCATTGTTGAAATATCAAAACATGATAGCTTTCTTATTAAAATGCAAATCTCGGTCAAAATTTGCTTTGATGCGTAACTCGGCAGCATTATAACAGGAAAAAATATTCAATGCCTAAAAGAGCTTATTGAGGATTTAAAGTTGGATGATAACTACGAATATTGCAAAGCTCATCCCATCTCCCTATCCCAAAGGATATGTAATGCCTCTTTTATTTGACTACTTATTTCGGTTGAAGTCACCTAGGTGTCCATAAGGTCTAGACTGAACTGCTGACCTCAAGGACAGGCCGATGGCCTGATAAATTTGTCTACCAACTTCTTGCCTTTTATACTCAAAGGGAAGTCGAGGCGAAAAGTGCCACTTATAACCACTTTGTCAAGATTACTATAAATAGACACCAATGTAAAACTGGTGATGGCTGTGTAGCCATGTATTCCAAAGAGAACAGAACAGCAGAGCCTGAGCATAGCCCGAAGGCCAGTCCAAAAGTACAAGGACCAGACGAATTCGAAAGTGACCGGCGAACGTGAGGTAGTCAGATAAACAAAGCATTACCGAACAAATGGCCATATAGGAAAAGGTGGATTTGTGGTACTATTTTATTCGACTACCTAAATTACTGAAGGTTACTTTGCTGTTCATCTTGCTTTTGGCTGGGCGGTCTAGTCTTTAAGTAGATTCAAAGTACCGTGTCCCCTCTTCTTCTTATGAATACAAGCACTAAGCATGTCTATTGTCCTCCTCTTCCAAATGGAGAGTCATTGCACTACAGGACTAGCTCGTACTGAGATTATTCTAGAATGGATAAGGGGGCAGACTGAGGACATGTATAATGGCCACCTGATTTTTCGTACTCGTCTTACTCTTTTGCGCTCGGACTGACCTTAGGGCCAAGCCAAAGTCCACTTCAGCCCACTTCTTCTACCCGGTAGGATCCAAAACAAGTGTCTTGAAAGCGAGCTATGTATAGGGGAAAAATTAAACGAAATTCTTTGCCATAACTTAAGATGAACCAGCATTTTTCACATGTAGATTTTAGTAGACTCCCAGCTTACCTTCAATTCACAAAACCTTTGGACTTATAAGAGGATTGTATGGAGAGGATTTACTAGGCATCCGTTGTAGCATAGAAAGAGGTATTGGTTTAATAAGAAAGCAATCCTGCATTGCTCCGCGGAAAATATCCCCGCGTTCTTCAAGCACTTAAAACCGTTAGTATGCAGGTTACATATTTCGCCTTCCGAGGTTATGATTTCTCAGACCTCATATTTTATATTTGTAAAAACATTTGCAATATATACTGTGGTTAAGTTCGCATTTATGGAGGAGAGGCGAGAAAGCAATTCGAACACGAATTCAGGTCGTGAGTAGTGTGAAGGTACGTTCTCAGAGTGAAATCGGCTTTCGACTTCATCAATCCTCCCCTATTTCCCTTCTGTACATGATGCCCATTAAAGCTTCCTCGACTGAATCTCTCCTGAAGTCCCAGGTTCAAGAGCCTAAGGATAGGCAGGTAGGATCTACTGTACTACTTTGTTTATGCGACTACCTGACGTTTGGCGGTCGCTTTTGATTTGTCTGGCCCCTGTATACGTAGGCTGACCTTCGAGTCTTCGGCTAGAAAGCCTCGGGACGCTACATCTACAGCATGGACTTCTTGATGGGGTGTATTTTCTTGATTTTCTTAATCCACTCTGCACAAATTCATGTGTCATTAATTTTGACCCTATAATAGACTATCTCAGAAAAGAGTTTTATGATCAATTTGCGTAAATCTTATTGGGTTTTGATTGTCCATGCACCCGTTAACTCAAAGGCTCATATCCTGCCTACGAAGAAATAAATTTTAAATTGTATACAGCAGAATGCAATCGTCTATTCAACTCTGTAAACCTTCGTTTAACTACACAGCGCGTTCATCCTTGGCACAAGCCTCCGCTACTGAAGTTTCGGTTATCTGAACCATTCCAATGAATATTGAGGTATTTGCAAATGCCAAGTTTGAGACCACTTGCACGAATGGTATCAAGCGAGTGTTTTACAAATACGAATCTACGAGATATCCAAAACACATGTTGAAATGAGGAAAAAAAGACATTGTTTGAGGTGTTAAACCTATCTGCAACCCCAGAAGCGCATTTAGTCCCGGTTTCTTAAGGGTTGTCTTGGTGACCTAACAGTTTTGTTTATAATTTTATTCACATTTCCCTCATCGTTAATCACTGTGCCGTTAAGACAAGTGTAAACTGCTTAAAGATTATGGAATGGTTTTCGTTTTTGCACTTCTGGACAACAAGGCAGTACGCAGTTCTCACGCTCTTAGTGTAACATCCAGAGACTTTCAACCGAGTCGAAGAAGGTTTTAAGTGGAGCTGATACTATATATTTTACTGAGAGCAAACGCATTAAGCTAGACTCGGATCGAAAGTCAGTCCACGCATACAGGAGCATGAGTAGTTTTAAAGCAACCACCAGCCACCAAGGAGTCACAAAACAAAGTATTACACTTATTATTACTAGGCTGCTAATGATCCCGATGTCCACCCCGGTTTACTCGTACTAGAGGTTCTGTTTAAGATTGAAATTGGATACACATCCATAATCAAATCTATTGCCGAAAATGCAATAGTTCAACAAGGCAAAAGGATTTTGGGTACTCTAATGATGATTGCAAGAGCTGCCTGTCTATCCTCTGGTCCCTGAACCTCAGACTTCAAGAGACGGTTGCGGATGATTTATTGGGCATTTGTTATTGGGAAGGATGGGGAATGGGATGCAGATGAGGCGAGTAGGAGGTATCAATTGGAGGGCGACTCCTCGCCGGCTTCGCTCATGTGATTCGCGTTACCGATTGGTTCCCGCCTCTCATTTATATGGGTACACTTAAACAGACTGATACATATTACAATGATAGATTTTTCAATATGCAGAACTGACCACTTTTGTGTATGTTTTGGGTCACTAAAAATCAAAATTCCCTCGGATCGTTTGTGTTGCCAATTTCCCTTCGCTAAATTTCGAGTTTATGTACGAAGATTCTACAACTTGGTGCATTACACGGAATAGAATGTTCCCAGTTGGAATTATTATTATAATCTCAGTTCCATTTCTATTTGCAAAACACCAAGTTTTCTTTTAAGTTGCCGACCAAAAAATCAAAGCCGAATTTTACGCTGATTGAGCACCAACTGAGTAATATATACTAATGTGTTTAGGTTTGCCCTTATAAATGAGAAGTGGGTAAGCAATTCGATGACGAATGTGGTTTGGGAAGAGCGTGAACAGACTGCCTCAGGGTGACATCGACTTTCGTCCCATCGATTGCCCCATCTCCTAATTTCCTTCTTTCTAATAATATAATAATAATAAAATTTCCTCGACCAACTCTTATGTTTTCCGAGGTTCAGGGGCCTAAAATGCAGGTAGCCAGGTTCCACAAACCACATAGGTAGCTAAAGTAAGAAGGAAGGTAGATAAATTATACGAGTTGGCGGTGACATAGATAGGTGAAAGAGTAAATAGGCCCGTACTCTTTGAGCTTAATGCCAATATCCTCTTCACATTGGAAATGCTATATGGTGGATGCCGCAATGTATTTCAGTGGCTTAAGAAGTATCTTGTACGTGAGAAGTGGAAATTCAATTTGATCGCCATGCTCGATAACTTATCCTAATTGACACCGATCGTCCCTTTCCTTCTATATTATTATATTATGCATATGCATGCAGCCAGAGGAAGCGCAAAAACATGTAAAATCACCTTAATATTACTGTTGTGCTTATATATTACTTAAAATCTAAGCTGCATTTAACGTAAAATAAAACTAACCTGATAATTTTCCGCCTTGTTTGGATCAATCAAGTATGTGAGGCGCCATTTTGTTTTGCTTTGGGTGTCTGATGGATGTGCTAATTGCTGAGGTGGCTCGTAAGCGCAAGTCGCTTCAGGACAATGAACTTGTAGTAATTTCGTTCGTTTGATTCCATGGATTTAGACTAAGGAAAAGAAGTATTTTAGGCGGTCAGACCTAGCGAAGGCAGAAGAGCACGAGTACAAAACAAAGTACAAATATAGAACTAACATTGTTCTGGCCGAAGATGACGCCAGTTATTCTAGCCTTTTACAGTCTGTATGTTTTCCTCATTGGTGTGTTACGTGTTTCAGACGCCAGAAGAGAATTTGCTCCTTAAGAAAATGGAAAGGGAACGCGAAGAAAAAGCAAAAGGAAAACTAATGCCAAGGAGGGAGGTTCGATCTGGAGTTGCTGACCTTATTTGGGAAGTTTAGGTTATAAAGCTTCTTCGGGAACGAAATCAACCAATTCGACTCTTTGGAGAGTCGGATTTTGACACATTTCAGCGCCTAAAGAGGATTCAGTTACTTGAGCCCGAGTCGAAGGGTTTGCGGAACGATTTGCTTGCTGCAATGGACAAGGTGGATGAGGATGAAGACGAAGCTGTTTTTGGAGAAGTTCGGAATAATGCGGCGACATCTGCTACTTCTGATGGAGGTGCGAACCTAGAGGTTGCTATCAAAAAGGATTATATTTCTCCTGAAGAGATGGGTGTTCTGAAAGTCACATTGTCCTCATATGTCATGATGCGTGAACCTAACGCTACCGATGATGCGACTGCGGTTGCTGCGAGTTTTGCTCGAGCGTCAGACATGCATCACGTGAATAAAACAAACGATCGTGCTGCTAGAGAGGAGGTCTCGGATCACGTTCTACGATATTTGAAGGTGCGCTCTGTATTCCGTAAGCTGATGCCTTCAGAAACTGATGATCGTTGCCAGAATCTATGAGTAACAAGATCGTTCGCTAAGTTAGTTGGACCACTTGTTTTGGGGTGTTTTTTAGATGTTTATGGATCTTCATTTTCTTGATTTGTCTCAAGCTTTGTTGTTTTGTGATAGTTTTATTAAAGTAGCAACTTTGCTTTAGTTCCTTCTTTCACAATGGGGAACGCATTTGAATCAACGTTCCAGAGAAGTTAAGCAATCATACTCTGGGAAGATGGCCAGCGCAACATACAATCAAACCTTGGAGTACATAAAGCCTTTATTCAAATTGCTGAAAACGAAGGTATGCTCTCTGTAGTATCCATTTATCTTTAGCGTTGCCAAGATGATATTCTAGACTCCCTCGTCAAGGTCGTGGTATTACTCATGGATAGAAATTACTTGAAGGTAGGTCAGCTACGCTACGATGTGAATGACATCAACTGTAGGCGAACGATGCCTATTTAGATCTGGCCATAGGCAAAGCGCCTTGGCCTCTGGGTGTAACCAACCACGGTATTCATCAGCGTACGGCACAGGACAAAATTCATGCCAAAAACGTCGCTCACGTTCTCAACGACGAGACACAGCGCAAGTTCATCCAGGGCATTAAGCGACTGATGACTCGTGCTCAAGAATTCTTTCCAACTGACCCCTCAAGATGCGTCAACTACATGAAACTGCCTTCGAGTGCCTCTGATACCCTGTCTTAGGTAGTGCAACCACGTTTCCCCCTTGTATAGTTCTTTCCCAAATTGGCTTTGAAATATACTCTCTTGTGTGTATGGCTTCAAAGTTGTTTCGTACACGACACTAAACTATCATAGTTTGATTTTATTAGGCTCGAAAATCCAAGTCTTTGCTAGGGTGTACCGCACTGGGTTTTGCCTCGTATTTTGAGCAGCAAATAGCCATTGAAATACTAGTAAGTTGTATTTCTTCGGGTAGCGGCGAGTTTTATGGTTTAGGCTCGTGGCTTTGGTCCAAATCATACCTCGGTTGTGCTTTGAGGTTCTTTGTTATGAACCTGCAAAAAGGTCAGAAAAGGTTAGTTAGATTTTTTGGTATCTCTACACGGCATTTTGAAGGCCAAACAGACATTATCAGCTGGGAATAGTTGACTAGCGTAGCGCGAAGGTAGTCTTCCTGCTCGTTTCGGTCTCTCCTACAGCGGGAAAGTGGATGGTGTTTGTAAAGAACACTGACGATAGGAACAATAGTCTATAAGTTGTAATTACCTTCAGGACGCTTGGCAGAATATGACTGAGATCGTTGCTGAAATTAGTGGGGACGGGTGAGAGGTCCTGAACTGCATTGGGGCTTTTTTCAATCGTCGGGAAGGCAGACCGGTCACTTTGCAATAGAGGTTGTGGCTGATGCTTGGGCTCCAGCTCCACGTATGAGGCGCTGTATTTCTTCCTAAATCGATCCTTCATTTCTCGCATTAGATTCGGACCTATGGAGAGGAGTTAATGCATCAGCTATATTAGCGGTGGTTATGTAATCGGACCGTTAACAATTTGTAGATGGTTTAGGAGGATGAAAGAAAAGTGAAAGAAATATTGAAAATGGTAAAAGTGCCCACCTTGAGTAGTGTAAATGTCGATTCCCCCAACTGGCAAGTAATGTCGCGGTGGAGTCAATTGTACATCAAATGGAGGTGTCTAGAGACGATGAATGAATAAATTGTCGTCTAAACAGTTGATTTTCCCTGCACCCAAAAGCATAATTTTGACGCAATTGAGTCTAAATTCCTTTCATTTCAAATCTTTAGCCAACAAGAGGGAAAGGTGATCCATCGGCCGCCCCAGTATCCCCTAACACCCCACTTTCATGGCACATCTGCATTTACCATTGTGGTGGTCTGTGACTATCGAAATTCATTAAATCTCAAGCACTACTAATTTCAAACCTGGTAAGAAATGAAAGTTTTAGTTGATGTAAGTGTTGCAACCTTTCTGGGATGTGGGAGGAGCACCTATCATTGCGTTACCTTAATTTTCGGGAAGGCAAAGTGCCTAACGACAGGAGTAGATTGATTGAATTCCAAACCAGTACCTGATCCATCCTCTGGGCAGAATTTAAGCCTGCACATTTGTCCCTTTCATCTCCTTGATCCGTCTCCCTCTCTTGGGTCTTTCTTGCGTAGGAATCGGCGACAACACACGTGGACTAAAAAAATAGTTGAAACTTCCAACTCTCACTCTAAAGCCGGATGTAAAAATGTTACCATCCAAAAAGGTAGTGAAACGTATGAAACGTCATCTTGTCATTTGAAAGTTGAACTCACATATTCTGAAAGAGATGGCAAAACGATTTTGCTTCCCTCAGTCCAGCTCTGTGCAATGTTTGGAACACGGCGATTAACTGGAATATCATTTGACAGCACCTCCTCTTTTTTTGTAGGGAAAATTGGCTGAGAGAGAATGTGATGTGCATGAGTAAAGGCTTGAGTTTTATCAACATTGACTATAACAGGATCGCGGGTGGCCATGGATGCGAAAAAACGCAATTCTTCATGATTTCACTATGTGCATCCAGGATTGTGGCAAAATTAAGGATTAAATTGAAATAAATTGCTCACAGCCACTTCCAGATTCGTTGACCTCAAATTGGCCTCGGTGTTTGCCTCGAACCGTTTTACAGCGTCCATGACTCTTTGACAGCTTGTTTCTCTCATTGGAGCTAAAACGAAACTCAAAATGGTGGCATTCCATTCCTTCAATTCTCTATCTGCAGAGCAATAAAAGTTGAGCCCATTTTCTTCGTTTTCGACTTTTCAAGCAAAATTAATTTAATTGATAAGTGTGGCATGGATATGTTGGACTTAGGCAACCGGATGACCACATGCGGCTCAAATGAGCAAATAACTAACGCTTCATTTGCAAGTACTTTTAGACCCTGCCTTCGTAGATTACACACAATTTGATTCCAAAGCTATGCGAGCAGATGGGGTGTTGAAGCAGCTAAGTGCCTCCACCGAAAAATAAACAACAATGAAAATGTCCGGGTGGTAAAATCAGAATAGCCGGTGGATCACGTACAAGTATCTTTCAACGCGCATTCGACGATGTGAGAAGGCCGATCTGCCGTCTAAAAAATTGTTATTTTGGTGAAACAGGCTAGCACCGCAATTATTGTGAAAAAACACAATGTTACCTTGTTACCGGAATTAGAGCTGCTTTTATTCGGTTTTTCAACTGAAAAGTCAATTACTAAAATGGTAGGTAAATATAAAGTTTAATGATAACCTGAACACCCGCATTTGCTTGCCCCTAACAGGGGAGTAAACTAACCTTTGGATGCCTTAGACGAATACCTGGGCGTTTGCAAGTCAACCTAAAAGTAGGGGCCACTGATCATGAGAGGAAACTGTTCCAGTATTAGCGATGCCCATGATGGCACCTTAATTACCAGAAGTCAAGTAAAAATTCGGATGAGTACAACACATCTTTAGCAACAATGTTGGAGACTTTCGATGGCAATAGGGTGGCTTCCCTTAGTAGGTAATAAATCAGATTGAATGCAAAATTTATGGTTTGTATCCTGTTGAAAAATTTTAAGTCCATAAACAGCCAAATACCGAGTTGAACGAAGGCAAGTTTTTGTCTCCCAAGTTGACTGAAGATTCTTTGCTCTTGGCTATCAGACAGTAGCAAATGATAAGCAGTTAGTAGGAAGAGAAGACCTAGCATAATCGAAAAGGAATTCAAAACGTACAAATCTTACTCGAGTTCTCTCCTTGAACGGTTGATGATCGATTCAAAGCGCTCTACAAATGTGCATATCTCCATTTACCTCTAAAAGATAAACTCAACGCCTTGGAGTGTCAAATGACTTACACTAGGATATTGACAACGGCGCCTCACCTGGCACGCCTTCTCTCTCCCCCCTTGCCAAGCATCTGAGGTCTTTCCTTTCCGCTTCCACTCAAGCGAATCTATGGCATTGGTTAGCACTACGTTCCTTACCCACAGAGTCTACTTTTCGTTCTTTCATGTCCTTCAGTGAGGGCTTGATGACAACATTCTACAAACGTAAAGGATTTTACTAGCACAAGTGATTACCAAAACAAGGTAATGTCAATATGCCGAGCTTAGTGTGAGAATGAACCGCTCCATCTTCGCATAAAATGATGATTTGGATGATTTTAAGGAAGTGCAGCCTACCTGTTTTCCTTCACGATGACCCTTCAGTCCTGTCGAAAGGGAGTCCAACCCGTCAACCATGATGCCCTCATCGAGATTTGACGATTCCACTGATTCACCTATTATGAAGTAAGTAAATTTAAAGTCCTATCAATAGAGCATGGATATGGTAGTCTTCCATTCCATAATTTCACCTCCTTCTAGTCTTACCCTCGATTTTTACTAATGATTGCTGAAAAAGATTGAAAGAAAATGTTAAAATGTTAAGAAAATGTTGAACAAGTTTGTGATGCTAAATCTCACCTGATAATCACAAGTTTTTGTTTGCATATTTGGCCAGTTGACCATTTTCGAGTATCCATACCCCTTCTGCTCGTCTCGACAATACCACTCTGCTTTCGCATCGCTCGATCCAGCTTCCAGAAATTTTGTTTCGAGGGAGACGGTAGGAAAAAGAGGTAAGTCAACAAAGTGGAAGCAAAAGTACCTATTTTGATTGCATTATAAGCAGTTATTCTTATGAGTGAACAGTAGTGAAACTAAAAACACTTAATAATTGTATTGGGATCAGATGCCCAGATGTCAAAGCAGGAGATCCTAATCATGCCGCTCACCTTCATCAATGTTTTTGTGCCTGTCTTTGAAGTGTGTTTCGGATTCATCAAAAAGTCTCTGCCAAAAACCAAAGCAAATGCTTTAGCCACGCTCTTTTACAAAACTAAGCTTCAAAGGCATGTTGAAAGTGAGTTTAAAAAGAAGTGAAAACGATGCAAAAGCAGTGTATTCAGATGCATCAGATTCTATTGTTCAAAATTCTTGTGAATTATGGCTACAACGAATGCGTGCGTTCGATGTTGCTTCATTGTGCTCAGCGTTAGGTATTCATAAAACAGTGTAAACCTCCATACTTCTCATACGCAGCTCTATTTACTAGCTGTGTATGGTAGCGCTTTAAAAGGTGTAATTGTTGCAGTTTTTTAGTTTCCATTATGTGTGGCTCATACTTTGTCGAACGCCTTGAGACGCACACACCCTGGCAGATCTTCATGTAAGAGGCGCCGATTCATGATCTTTTTGATATCAATACTTTGCCGCTTTGTAATATCAAAATATATTCCGTCCTGTGCAAACCAGGACATCATTAATGAGGAAGGATTTGCGGGGAGACCTTTAGACGGCGCCATTACTCGTATTTAAAGCAGTACCTTCCAATAACCTTCCAATTAATCACAGTAGTAAATCCGACCACAGTGGCATTACATCAAGCCACTGTAACGCCTAAGAAATACTCACCCGAATGGCCAAAAGTTGTATTTGATGCAAGGAACGGTGCGAGTCCAATCGCGATTCACAGACAACATTCTTCAGCTCATCGTCACTGTGATGTGCGTCCTCCCCCGGAGTTGCCTCGAGATGCCGAACATGTCTAGACTGTGGGCCCAAGGATGGCGTTGTTGGAGCTGGGATGCGTGGTAAGGGTCCTAGGTTAGCCACATGATCCTTGTCAGTGTCCTTCGCAATCGACAGCTTATTATCATAAGCCCGGGAATCGGAAGGTTGCTCTCAACACAGAAATTATTTGCTTGTAGTGCGTAGTTACGATCACAAATGTACCAACAGAATGCTTCACCTCTCCACCGAAATAATTCCAGTAGGCTCAGTAATAAGCAAGTTATGTGAGTTAAATGGATCATCAGCATTTTTTACGTCGATGTGAAAATGTGAGATTCGCCCGTAGAGATAATTACCCTTAGTACAATTGTCTAGAATACCCAAACCGATGTTGATGAATTCGAAAAGGCGATATGCAACGCTTTTATGGAGTAACTTTTGCGTGAAAACTGGTAATGCATAAGTCAACAAACAGAGTAGTTTTCCAAAACTAAAAGGTGGGAGTTAATGCTTAGTGGAAATTTTGAAGCAGTATCACAATGCAGGAAGGAGAGTAGGGTTAAATTTCCCTATTCTGAAAGCATACCAAATTCCTCATAGATTTTAGCTGGTAAACCTGCGCAAAAACCAAACACGTAGCGTAAATGTTTGTATGGTTTTGAATGGTGCAATGTACATTACAAAAAAATGTGCATTAAATCCTAATTACAAAGTGAAAAAAAGAGCGGTGAAATGCATACTCGGAAGTTTTCTTTTTTCCTTCCTTTGGCTTGAGCTAATATAAGCACTCCGCATTTTTATACGAAATGAAGTTGGAATCTTTTTCCACATGTGTGCATGATAACTACGTGGGTATAAGGATATGCAAATGATACTAATTCTACATCACAATTGGTGCAGAAAAAGGTAACCAATAAGCCTTCCACATGAGCTGTTACTTGCGATTGGGCTTTGCCTCCTGTCAACTTATTGCCCGTCCCCTTAGTCGTCGCCATAGAAAGGGTTGAAATCGTGAGCTTCTGTACTTCCCAACTGTCGACGGCACACAGTATTAACTAATGATTAATAACTCATGAAACCTTGTCTGCGCGCACCTTTTACCTCCTTTGCTGGGCGAGAAGTAAGGTAGACCAATGAATTGTAGGCTTCGCACCTGCTAACCACACATTGTTGCCAAACTTCATTGGCATATTTACTTAGTGCTTCAATAAATGTCCTGCTCTAATCCCCATGAGGTCAAAGACTAATCCCTTGCGGCCGTCCAAGCAGCCTCATTTTTCAAAACAGTTTTCTACCCTTATAGTTATTTCTGCTGGCCGAAAGTCAATATAATGCGTTAGGGGAATACTGCTTCAAAGTAAGCCTTAGATAGGCTGGGGAAAAGCATCCTTACCACACTCCATTAGGCTTAAGTTTTTATTTGCCTAAAAGGGAGACAAATTAGTTTCGATGTAGCGCAGGTTCACAGTGAAGTGAGGCCCTGTGTTACGGGGAACGCTTACCAGAGGAATGTCTCTAGGAGGTGGACTGTCCTAGTTCGAAGGCATGCAGTTTCATAAGGGGAAGAAATGGGATCGAAGGCTAAGCACCCATCCCGATGACTTACTGGACAAATAAAGGCTAGTTCAAGGACCTTCTCCGTCAACTCGTTTACAGTTGCCTAAATTGGAATGTATTTTGCCCTTATTAACGAAACATAACGAATGCGCCATTCTACACATCTACTCAATGCCGATTCCATTGAATTGGTAAAAGATAACATGAAAATATCGAGTCAAATATCGCAAGCAGTATACCTCACGTGCATCAAGCCAACACTAAGCAAATTACTGACTGTGCACTTTTGTATAGCTTGGCTTCACTTTTAAATGCCCCACGCAGTCCGTACTCAATGTCCCCAATCAATTCTATGCAGAATTGTACTACACAGCGAAATGCAACACATCCAAGTAATTCTCCACTAATCTCGAGGACTCATCCCCTACACACTACTGACTAGACTAATAGGGAACCGAGTTGCTACTTAGTCTTGTAAACCAGTTCCAACTCTAAGAACTGCTACTCCAATTCTGTTTACTTAAGAGACAGATTCCACGCTTAACAATGGTCAGTGACTTTACAATTTAAAACAACCTAAAATCATTACTTCAGCTATTAATAATATCAAGTATTTACTTAACTAGTATTTGGTGAGGTTAGGTCTGGCGACCAGGAATAACACATCATCAACCTGTTATTACATGAATACGTTGTTATTTCCTTGTTTCTGAGCCTTACTAAACGAGAATTGCCTATGAACATTTAAGATCTAAGGCCCGCACACAGCACCTGAGATTGTAAAATTCCGTCAAAATTACCTCTTCTATGTATGAAGTCGAATCAAGTTTCAGAAAATTTAGCCATTCGATGTGCTTACATTGAGCGCTTTGTTTACTCAACTAGCAAGAGGCTTGGCCATGTATGTAAGAGGATAGAATAACAAAATAACGTACGTATCCACAACCCATTGAAAATGAGTAGGTAAAGACTTCAAAATCGACACTGTTGTTGGAAGATTCGGCCAAACCAGCATAATATCGGAAAAATCGACAGCGCAGCTACCTACGTGGCATCAAGATACTTTTAGAAAATCTGGAAACTCAATTAACGGTTTCTAGTTAGGTACAATCTGATACAATAACAACCCCACAGTCCTCACCACATAACTCGGAAGTCGTCCTAACCAGACGAGATTATGAATGCCTCGCAGGCGGGAAAGACGTTTGCAAAAAATGTCCTCATAAATTTATCACAGGAGCAAAGCATCCATGAAATATTACAAATTAATAAAAAGGAACATAGCTAAAGGATGACAGTATAGAGTTGTAAATTGCGTCACGTAGGCCTAGTAGTACCCCAAATGGTTCCAAAAATATGCGATAGCTGAACTTCAGAATACTAAGACCAGATGTAACGTGAGTTAATGATAATGTACAAATTTAAAGAGCTACAGAGAATACAGAACACAAAACGACCAAATTTTATAATTGATCTCCAAGAAATTTCTAAAAGTCCCTGAGAAAACTTACCCAACTCGAACTAGTGGTCAGCTTGTACGAAAGTGTCAGATTGCAGTATACGCTGGAGAATTTTGAATCCAAACCTTGAAATCGATCAGAGGTCCCACTGACGAATTAGCCAACCAAAAGAGGACTAATGCGCGTGTCAAAATCGCGAGCGTTTCAAGTGTTCGTTTATGGGAAGTGGTTAAGGAGAACCTATATCAGGGTACTATAGCACGTGAAGTCGCGAAAGAACGTTAAAATAAAGGTTATCGAAATAAAAGTAGCAAAAATGGCAACAGCACGACTAGTTTGCACAAAGTGACAAACTCAAGAACTGCGTAGCATCCACGGCTCGGCATTCACTCCAAAAGAGATCGATAGAGCCAGCTTAAGTTTCGGGGTGGCTGAAATAGTGAAATGCTCGTCCGTACTCCAACACTATCAACTGTAACAGACATTACAAGTAGCGTTACTGACGAAACCGAAAACTGGGAACAACTGATAGCAGCTAGGAGCGATTATAACTCTACGTTAGTAACAAAGATAACATAACAACATTATGATATCCTTAAGTGAGACTTATCCGCCTGTGTCACAAAACCCAAACTCAAGAAAATGTTTAGCTCTAGTAGAGGCGATCTGCAAGCTCAAACTTGCAGCTCATAGTTACATATAACGCGTTGTAAACAGATAAGGCCCTTAATGCTTCATATAAATGTCTGGTTATAGTTGAAATGATAGATAGATAGAATGTACAGGTAGGTCATGTGATGTCGTGGCATATCATCGTGCACCAACAGAAATAAAGAATCCCGCCTCCCATAGCCAACCACGAATAAGAAGCCAATTAACATGTAAGCGCCTTACTTGAAGCTGTGTTGATTGTGCCTCTCAATGTCAGTGATCGTGAGAAGTTGGTTCCTGGGTCGAATTGACTATAGCTGTGCGCAGAAACTTCAGGAGAGTTTAGTCGACCTTAACTGTCGACCAGAAAACAAGTTTCCGGCTCACACAATTTTAATGCTGGAGCATAACCCAGTGTATACTGTTGGGATACGTTCCAAGTCCTATACTCAAGACCAGCAAAAGGAGCTACAACGATACGGTGCTCAATTTATTAGGTTAGTAAGTTGAGTTTATCCTGATGGCCATCTTGTGCATTCTACACCAGAACTAACCGTGGTGGGCTGATTACGTACCATGGACCTGGTCAGCTTGTGGCTTATCCGATTATCAATCTTCGAGGACCAGAAATGGCTGGCAGAGGATTGAAGTGGTTTGTTGATGTTTTGGAGCAGTCAGGTTATGAGGTGTGTCGAGAATTTCGAAACGACACCTTTTCTAAGGGCAGTGTACTATTCCCCGAATATACTGGTGCCACCGGCGTTTGGCTAGACAAGCACAATAAGATAATGTCTATTGGTACGCGGTAGAGATGTCTTCAACATATTCCTGATCAAATCCCCTATCCGTCTAGCTTACTTCTTACCATGAAGTTGAATGTTTTCACATCCAAATTTGATTTTTCTTGTTTCCTGTCATGAATATAGGCATACATCGCACCCGCACCGTAACTTACCATGGTATTGGTCTGAATTGCACAATGGACCCACTCAAGTGGTTTGACAAGATTGATCCGTGTGGCCTTTCCGACTGTAAGATGACATCTCTCGAATCTGCCACAGGAACGAGAATCACTCCCGCTGAGGTGGCCCCAAAACTCTCGGAACGGCTATTTAAGAATCTTTTCATTCATCAGGGCAATTTGGAGTGCACCTATTTCAACCTCTTCGCGGAAAGCGGCTCGCTTCCCTGGGCTGATGTCGTTCGACGCATTCTCGTAGACGCTGATATCAGAACTAAAGCCGTCCAAATAGCTGAACTTTCGCCGCCTCCAGCCAATTAGCTATACTATATCTGAAACAGCCTATCTGTGCGCACCATTGTTGTTCAGTCTGCACCAACTCTTCCCCAGCCTCAAACTCGAAAACTCACAATAGATCCTTTTTTGGAGGATTAATCTGCTCTATACGACTGGCAAACACAAATAATCACTCTTGGATTTTTTGGGCAAGACATAAGGTCAGAATTTAACACTCCTTTTCTTTTGTGTATGGGACAGTGGCTAAGGATGTACAAATTTTATCAACAATAAACTTGTACATCCAATTCCTGCAACAAGTTTGTGCATTCCCCTAATGGACCTGAGGGTATGGACAAAAAAATTAAACAACCAAAATATTTCCGTCCCACTAATATTATTTAACACGTCCTCATGAGTATGAAGAAAAGCATGGTGATCAGATAGCTAAGACTCGCGTCGAACCACAACTCTAGAGGTTTTCACAAGGAATTCCAACTCTTCTTCAGTTTCCTTGTCTGCCTGCTTTTCCGTATCGACCCCTAAAGTAAAAAAAAAAAACTATTACCATGGCCAATACCCTTGACTACGCCTTCAAGATAAGCACTATCGAAACTATCAAGTGCAAGCTACCGAGAGTTTGTAAAAACATACCACGAAGCTTATCGCGTTTCGCCTTGTCAGCGGAGTAGCGTGAAAGCAAGCTAGTTCGCCAATCGGTGAATTCTGAGGTGAGCTTCTTTCGACGCTCCATTACCTCACGACTTGCCTTCGATGCAAGCATCTTGTCCTCGGCGTCAAACTGTGCCGAGTACTTACTAGCCAGGCTCTTCTTTATGGCCTGTAAAAGAGGTGAGTTAACTTAAGGTTACCAAAGAAGAAGGTGAGGAGAGAAACTAACATGAATCTGCTCAGGAGAGAGAAGAGTCGGTGGAAAAGGTCGCCAGGCGAATATGTGAAGGCCAGTGACCTTCTTCTGGTAGAGTGGGCGACCGACGGAGTTCCAGAACCAGACAGCATTATCCGATTTCTGCTTAAACCACGTGACTACTGAAGCAAGGTATCGACCCGTCCCATCCCAATGAAGCTCACTAGCCATTGGATGTTCTACCTTTGCCACCGACTGACAGTCATTGGCATCAATGAACTCAATGCTTGCATCAGCCCTGTTTGTGCAAATAAATCGCAATCCATTGAATAGAACCATAATCAGGTAACATGATTGAGAACTTGTACAATGATAACGTATAGCCCATCTAAACAAACGCTTTAAAACCTGATAAAACAAGATTATAGCGTATGCCAATTAAAGAACCGATATGACTCACGTCAGTAGGTTGGCAACAACAAATGTTGATCCTTTCGGCGACCATCGCAGTTCGTTTATTCGAGAGTTACCTCTGTCAAAGATGGTTACTTCGCTGACCTTCCCAGACTTTGTTAACTCGTATAGGGGGATGGTGATTTTCCCAGCGCTGTCCGTGGCGATGTACACAAAGCGGCTGCCAGTGGGCTCCCAAGCAAAGCAGGTCACCGACGCTGCGTCCTTCACGGAGACCTGGTCAATCGGATAGAGCTTCTCCCGCACGCGCACGATTTCAAAATTCACAAATGTGCCCTACACCAAAAAAGCTAGCATTTATTCCGTTTGTATGGCCTTAAAGTGAACAAAATCCTTTTGATTAGGGCCAAGTTTGTAGCAAGCCCCAGCTTTAGCCATCACTACAGCCCTCAAAGTTATCACATAAAAGACCAAAGTTGTGTCACTAAGGAATCGGTAGAAGAGACCTACAAGATACTTCACTTGACCGTCCTCAATTTTCTTTTTATTACAACGGAGGACCTGAACACAGAGGAAGTCACCCTGAGGATGCCAGAGTAACTGGATTTCAGCCACTGAGAAAAGATTCTTAGTGCACAATTCTTTACGCGTCGGAATGGAAATGAGGGCAACCCTATGCAGGCGGAAACAATATAAGAAGACTAGAGAAAAAGTAAAGGGTATCAAATTCTCATCAAGTGAAGCGACGACACAAAGCACACAACCTTTCGGAAGAAGCGGTCGTTTAACCCTCCCGAGGGAAGCATTAAATGCACAAGGAAATTTACAACAGCTTTAAGAAGCAAAGTACGTTTGTATAGCCTACTGAAAAATAGAGCAATGACTGGTCAACCTCACCTAGCGGGTGTGTTGTTGGTTTCTGGCGTCCAGAAAGAGATAATATTATCAGTTGGAGACCAAGCAAAGTCATTAATGTTAACCGGCATGACGATAGGCTTCGTATTCAACAACTTGAAACCCTCAGTTTCGTAAACGTAGATTTTACCGCCCTGTAAAGCCGCCACAAAAGCATCGTCATGGGACCACTTAAAAGTAGGCCAGGAGGTTATTGGACCGGAGAAATTGCGACATGCTGTACCTTTGCGCACATCCCAAACGACCACGTCGCACAGCGAAGAGTTCTGCTTTTCGCGTACCTCAACATTTTGGCTCAGAGTCACCATGAATCTACGACAAAAGGACAAAATAACATTGCGAGAGTTAGTAAGCAAATGAGCTTGATCATTTTTTGGAGGATTTCGAAATTCCAGCAGCAAATAACACCTCATCTAGTATTTGCATTGAAGAGCAAAATTAAAACATTTTCGCAGCACAAACCAATCGTACACATAGAATGAAGCGTTCAGTTATGAATAAATTAGAACTGAAAGTTCGGATTACTTTTCATGGGGAGAGAAATCAAGCATTCTGACGTCACGGTGCGCGAATCTACCGACTCGTTCAAATTTATCTCCACCCCAAAGTATTACACCTTGTGGGTGCATGGTGGCGAGGTAAGTGCCGTACGGAGACCAGTGAATCCACCCATCCGACCAGTCATCCCGTTGTTCAACGAGGATTTCTTCAGAATTCGTGTGCCAAAAGATGGAGCACTTGTCACCATCTTGGTACAGCAACGCAAATTGGTCTCGAGCGAATTCGTTTAAAAGCCAGCTGCGTAAATTACCCACGTCGTGATAAGGTTTCTTCTCAGGGGGCACCCATTGCTTTCGACTGCCTGTACATTTTGAAAAGTCTGGAAGACTCGTAACAAGAAGCGTGTGAGCTTTGTCAAGGGCCAAATTATTCATTTCGTTTACGGCTTTGACAGCTCCCTCAGGTGAGGCGTAGGTCATGAACATGAACCCGCGAGTTTGCCCCTCATCGTTCGTCGGCAAGCTACTAAAGATAATCTCGCCATTAGCCGAAAACTTTTTAAGTAAGACATTCTTTAGCAGATCGAATTTCTCTTTCCCGACTATGGGGCAGCCATCAACAATAATGGTGTTCGCCGTCAAATCCTCTAAAGTCGGTTCCAATTCCAAAATATCAGGAATCAATTCTATAATTAGTAAAACAATGAAGTAAATGGGTTCCTACTTGCGAAAACAAAAAAAAAAACAAAAACGGTAGCTATGTAGTACAAAAAGGAGGGCTTTGCTAAGAACACAAGATCCGAATAAAAGCCCTAAACACATGCTAAGAGTCTTAGCTATACAGTGCACATCTCTATCAAACCTATTAAAATCTGTTCCAAACAACACACCTTTGTCGTCTGTCGGAGACATGGCCAACCATTTAGGCTGAAAGGAAAATAACACATTCGCTTCTAATTGGGCAACGATTTACCAATAGAGGTGGAAGTTGAGATTGTCTAACCTTCACTGTAATGCATTTCTCACCATTAGATTAGAGTTAGTGACCAAAGCTCCATGCTGAACTTCAGAACTAAAACTGATTCCCTCTAAAAAGACTTATAAAGCATAGATCGCAGTGCATTTAGGAGAATTAACTTTTTGACGAATAGCTTTCATAGGCAATTTGGAATGCAACTACTTAATGAAGTAAAGCCACCATAGACAATTGCTTGTCCATAATAAATATTGCCTTCATTAATTCATTTCATCTATTCTTTTTCGTACTATTATTGGGAGATTAACATTATTGCGTTTTAATAGTCTAGTGCTTTAATATTTTAAATGCGAATAAATAACTTTTCTTTAGCGAATTTTACATAATTTGTACACAAAACGCTTGAATTCACTTATCCACCAATTTGGTTTGGACTTTGAGTAAACCTGCACCACAAAGGCAGAGTTGAAATCCGACTTCGACTGCCAATTTTGAAATGTAGAGTTTTAAGACAAAATATTTATGTAACAGTTTGATGTCGAACGCTATACTAGCGGCAGCAAAAAATGAGTCCTATTCTTTCATTTCTTCTATCCTTGCATCCAACGTTTGTGTTATGTACCTACGGTGCGAAGTAAGCGTATATGCTTCGAGCAGGAGGTCATCTGAACTCCCCACACCAGAAGGCTTGTATTTGGTCCCACTTTATCCCCGTCTTCTCCAGACAAGTCATTAACAAACATACAAACGTTGGGAATGACACTGCTCCGGATATCCCTACACATGGAACTGTGTTTGATCCCATCTTCCCTCCTAAACGTCATTTTTAGACAAGTGTGCGAACGTCAAGTCCTGGAAGCAATTGATGGTCTACAGAGGTGTGCAGCCCCGATTCATGCTCCTAGGCAAAAAGCAACTCCGGATCCAGTTTAGGCAAGTGAGGAAGCCAAGTGCAATTGTCCAGTCTCATGGTGGCTAATGACTGGCGAGGCTGGCCCGTGGGTGTATCCTTGCAGCACCAGCTATGGTGTAGTGACTGACGCGGCAGGTGTATCAAGGGTCGCATCGAGCACGTAAAATTCGTCCGGCCCTTGTACGCATGGCCCGGTCCTAGGATCCTTGCTTGCTCCTATGCCTTCTTCCTTTAAAATACATGTATTAAGCTCAACTTAATGTCCTCATGTACCCGGAAACTAGTCTTAAAACGCTGCATATGATCTTGAAGGCTTTAAATATGCACCACCGGATGCTGTATCTCGGGCAGCTGCTTTAGTATTTGACTTGCACTTGTGCGCGCGAACCAACCATCGGGTCAATCTCTTCTCATTGTCCCAGAATACGTATTCATCTTAGCTGCCTAGTGGGAATTCTCAGGGAGCTACATCGGCTAGAAGTGCATTTATGGCTGACAATGTAACGATGACAAGAATTTTTGGTATAACTTGGGTGAACGGATGCATTAATTTTCACCTCAAGAGTCTCAATGGACGGTTGGGAGTTTGTGGTATACGACTCATGCTTATGATCTTATCCGATCCTTCTTTCCTAATCGGCAATGTGGTAACTGGGCTTGTGTTTGAAATGGGTGACAAATGGACATAAGAGTGATGTGAGATATTCTATGTGGAAAGAGGTCGTTCATATTACAAAAAATTGTGGCAAAGCTTGGCGTAGTCTACTTAAGCTCCAAGTGCTGTAAATTTGTAAGTAACGACGATTTGATTTCTCGAAAGAAAGGTCTTTGCTTGCGCGTTGACGACCAGCACTTCTGCATAAGTCTGTAGATTGATGACGGACAATGGTCTGGCTTCGGCAGACGCCTATGGTCTGTGAGAGCTCTGATCACCTACAATCACGAAAAGTAATCAAAGGAAGAAAGTGATCAAGACCTGCATAAACAACAATCACATTAACGTCGGGTGTGAAATGTTTTACCCGATTTGAAATGGACGCGTCAAATATTTACGTAAGGGATTCTAACTGGGAGTGTGAGAAACACTCAACATGTGGAGAGTAGGAAAATGCAGCTAGTGTTTTGAAATGGACCACTTTATGTGCATTCGTATTTGTAACAAAATTCCACTGCTACATTATTGTTCTTCATTGAGTTGCAACCGAGAAGCACGAGGGTAGTGAGGCAACTAGGAGATTGAGAGCACCACTTTTTAACAATACAGAATTTAACAAATACAAACAATGGGTGAAGTGAAAATAAGCTAACTTAAATGACCTCCGAAAGGTCCACATTGCCGTAGGGTATTTGACCGAATGTAAACAGCTCCCAGAGGAGGACACCGAAAGACCAAACATCGGTGTCAACATTGAAGTGGCCCTGGAGGATAGATTCTAGGGGAAGCCATCGAACAGCAAGGGGGGCCTCGCTATCCAAGTCCACCAAATCGTCAGTGCAGTTGTGTGGTAAACGACGACACATTGAAAAGTCCGCCAACTTCACTTGGCTTCCATTCACTAGGCAATTTCGGGTGGCTAGATCCCTTCAGACCGTAAAGAAAGTGAGAACAACCTAAAGATCCCCCTGCGTCATTAATGCCTATTACATTAAATACCAATACTTGATTTACTACTAAATGGAACTTCCATCACATCTACGACATTCCTCGTCTTCTGTACAATTTTCACGATTTCCTGAATATTATGGTACGAGAATTTTGAAGAGACCAAGCAAAAACTAAAAAGAGGAAACATTTAAATTTTCAACGAGGTACGTTTGCAATTGAAGGCGTTAATGCGGGTGTCCTAAAAGTTCGTCACATAGTTGAATTACTGGAGTGGTCTCTTTTCGAAAATAACGTGTCTAGGCTTAAAGCCACAGAGTGGGCACAACTGAGTAGAACGCAACCAAGGTAAATACTGCTAGATTATCGCGCTGAAGTGCAACAAATACTTTAAGTGTTGGTGCATTTTCCGCATGGAGCGTTGCAACAATTTGTTAACATTTGGGGACTTGTAAAATGTGTGCAAATGTTTTCATGCCTGATAGAAAGTGGATAAGCGTCAATGCACTAATGGTCCTATTAATGCTCATTGTTATTCCTCCTTAATTGCAGTTCAATTTTTAACTGAGACTGGTAGAAATTAGTATGGCTGGTTTGCTTCGTAAATTGAGTTTAATAAGGACAAAATAAGACTAATTCGTGGCTCATTCCGTGACACTTAATTACGAAAAGATCTCCGCTTTAGGATGGGAGTGGGATGCTACTCTCGTATTTCTTCAGGTGTACATCCCATTCCCTTCGAATCAGGCAATCAAGTGTGACAAAATGTGCAATTGAGAAAATAATAATGAAATAAAAGGGATGTAGCTAAATCTAGAGGTTTTTGACAATGCAGACAAGAAGTTTCACAAATTAGAAGCCGAAAACTTTTATCCTGTTGGAGAAGATAATAGATTTCAGCAATGACAATTTTTATGAAGACTGTAAAGAGTTTACGGCAGTTATCCAAGCCTGTCGCAGGGGCATCACTAACAAAATTGGCTGCCTCACATTTACTATAAGTTTCCAATGCAGCCGAGTATTTCGTTCGCTAGAAGATCTAGCAAATAACGGGCAAGTATAAGCGTATATTCTTTTGAAAATACCGGACTCAAAGACAAAAGTATATGAATTAAAAGCCATACGCTACAACAAAAAATCAAAACTTTGGGACTTCCTTAGAGTGGAATTCTGGCAAATGAGGATAACGTTCCTAACGATACACCTTAAGGATTCGTTGCATGTCCTTTAAAGGCTAATGGTTCCTATCAAATCGAGAATACTTGGCTTCATTCGATCTCAAGTCAAGGATACAATCACTAGCTAATGCATCAGTGTGCTTATGTACTTTTCAATGAATCGTAAGGAAACCTTTTGGAAATCGGAGTAGGATTAACACGGAGAGCAAACGAGGATTTCAAAGTCGATGCATTTTTGAATGATAAGCCAATGAGCGAAGTTCTCCTTCCAGCAATTATTTGGATGCTCAGATAAATGATCAAAGTTTATGCGCAGCTCCAAACTAACTTGCAACCTGAATAACTTACGGTAAGTTGAAATTGATAAAAGCCGAAGATGAGAGAAGGCAGTACCTGTGTACGTAGAGCTTGCCGCTTAAGTAGATCATGGCCTCGCAGACATCCAGAGCGAAGCGGATTAATGTGCGGGTGGGGAGCGTTCCATCACCACTCAAGAAGACGGTAGAACTTTCGTTAAAGTCGCTTCCAGCGTCATCGTTGTTGGTGGCGGGAACATACGGACTAGCCACGGGGTCTCTTGCGTGGTGCAGAAAGGTGTTCAGGTCGCCATCCCGCATATACTCGTAGATCAGAGAGTAGGGCTGCAGTGGTATGCAAATTCCTACATGGTATAAGGAGAGAAAGTTATTGTGTTTTAAATTGGCATGTGGCAAACCATTTGACATACTCAGAGCCGACAGTAGGGTAAGAAGGCCGATATGATAAAGAATAAGGGGGGATCAAAATTTTACGCAATTATTAGGTGATGGAGGTTCTATTTAGTGCAAAATGACAGATCCATCAAACCTAACTTATTGGTACTAGTTTGACAGTTTTGGCCCAGCAGAAGCCAGACTAATCACTCCATATGTATTTGCTTGTTTGCTAGACTGTGAAGAGGTGGTTGAGCTAAATACAACCAGCACTTCCCTATAGATCTCTTTGGAATGAACAACAGATTTTGCCGAATAAGTGCAGCACCACCAGTAATCCTCTAAGCAACAAATTTATCGAGTAGGTTTAGGCTATAGTGATCCAAACCTAGCTACAAATGCGCTCGTGTTGGCGCATTCAGATGCATAACTGAATTCATAGAAATTATTTCACATGTTATTACTCAACTACTACGTCAATCATCATTGCTTTTCGTCTAACATTAAATTTGATAATTCATTACTAGATGCTTTATGAGAGCATTGCAAGTTTATAGAAGACGTAAAACAGCAAAATATTGGCAATAATGTTGCAAAAAGTGTCTCGTACCAATGATTTGCACGATATTCGGGTGGTTCAGGTCAAGCAGAAGCTCAGCTTCTCTGAAAAATGATGCTTCAGCAGCCGGTGTTGCCCCAAACTCGAGAGTTTTGATAACTACGTGCGACGATTCCGGCATGTCAAATTCCCCTGACAGATCTGTGAAATTAAAGGTCAAAATATAAACGCATATTTAATTATAGTAACAAACCCCAAAATCACTTCAACGAGATGAAATAGAAAAACCCCTCACCGTTACCAGCGAGACTAAATCTTCTTTTCAGAGGGAAACTTGGTGCCCTGGCGAGAATCACATAACCGAAGGCGGACTTTGCAAGAGTGCGCTCCTCTATCAGCAATTTACGGGCGTACGAGAGTTGCTTAAGTCTGAACGAAACCAGAGGCGAGATACTGGTAAATAGAGTGATCCCGACCTATCCCAGGGGTAGTGCAAGCAAGGTAGCTCACTTGGGATGCATGAACTGACCAGCGGAAAATAGCATGAAGGCGTTATCCAGGTGAAAGCGAGTATTGCTAGCGCCGACGAGACAGTGGGTATGATGTAACCCGTGCTTACAAAGGATGGCGGAAGTCTCGGTGGAGGAGGATTCACTCGGCTGAAGGTAGGAGTTAAGGCTGGAGGCGGGTGGATGGGACTCAACGTCAACATGTTCTACTGAATGCATCGCCTCAGAGAGCGCATCAAGATGTGTGAGGTGCGGACGATTATCGGTGCGCGCATGCTCCTCCATCGCCAGCAGCCGCTCGGGGTTATGGTTCTGGCGCAAGAACTTAATTAAATGCTGTACTTCCTCATCCTCATCGTCTGGTATCTTCTCCAACGTATCCTCATTACCAATCTTGTTAAGAGGGATTGAAAACTTCATTTCATTGAATTTCTCCGTATTTTATGCATATTTAAATGGAGAAAGTTATTGATCAGATACCTTAAACCTTTCCTCTTCGAGGCGAAATGCATGCTGAAAAATTCCATTTGTTAGGAACAGAAAACATGAATTTGTTTGAAGACAATATCTCTATTTAGCTATTGAGTAGAGGTTCTAAACCTATCCGTTAATTTGTCGTGAAGTTCCATTCCAATTACCCCTACCGGAGAATATCAAAATCCAAGAGTAGTATTCTAACAAGCTAGGCAGTTTTATAGCTTTCACTAAATTTAAAGACAGAATCCGCCTTTAAAAAGTAAGATTGTAATCCTTGCCAGGTTTGGGGAAGTTTTTAAATACAGCTCATTCTTCAAAAATAATTATTTTGCTATGAGAGGCAACACCATCGACAACAATTTGCTGCTGCAGTGTGGACAGTCAAAATGATGAGACGGAGCACTACTACGGACACATGCATGTGTCACCAATGAATAATGTCCTCATATTCGTCCGGTTAAAAATCTCACTGGCAGCTTTTCTGGACAACGGCTTTCACAAGGATGGAACGTGGGGGAATTCGGCATTGGAACCGAATTAATCTCCTCTAGATAAAATACGCATACTACTTTGCCCCTCTATTACCCCGGCAGAGAGTCTTGAAGTTGAAAGCCAAGGTTGGGTTAATAACGGCTAGACATTTCATCACACCCCCAAAGTTGGCCTCGCCTCAGATTCTACAAGGAGAAAGATAGCCCGGGATTTATACCTTTACAATTCCAAGCCTCTATAAAACTTCACCTTTGTCGGATCTGCTTTTTTAAGTGTCTCTGCGCAGCAGCAGCGACGACGACAACACAGCCACTCGTCACCAGCATTACTCCTGTCACAGGCATCTTGGAGCGCGTATAAACAGCGCAAAAGACAGCGGCTGAAACGGCCGGTTTCGCGCAAACGTTCCCGCCGCGTCACGAGTTGCGCATATCGGTTTGCACGCTCCTCCTCTACTGATATACGTACCTTCTCCTGCCGATAGGCGCGCAGAATGTAAGCAAGCACGAAGAAAATGAGGAAGAGGAAGACAGTGCAAATCGTGGCTGTGATTGAGATCATCTATAGGGGACAGATAGGCAGCAAACGAGACATTAGAGGAATGAGAAACTCCACTCTACTAGTGGTTTTCACATGACTCACATTGATACGCTGCTGATGGCGGTTGAGGTCCATATGGTTCATTGATGAAGTTGTGTCGGCAAAAGCGCAATCAACCAACAAGGAACAGTTAAGGAGCGTGAGAATCCCGGGAATGCTGCGATTGGTACCCACGCAAAAAGGCTTCGGGGCAAGACCCAGAGGATTGCGACAAACCGAGTAGTTGGTAGGAAGGGGTTCGAGAGCCTCAAGCGGAATGATAGAGGGGCTGAGGGAGGTCAACGGATCAGGGCTATCCGATTTCACATAGTCCAACTCTACCCACGGCAGACAAGAGGTAGGACCTGGAACAATTCCTCCATAGTCTTCACCATATCCATTATAACAGTCTGAAATTGCGTGGAGAAATTAACAGAACCTGTGACAATTAATTCATGGTGGAAAACAAATGCGTGAAATACGGATTTCAAAACAAGCCCAAAAGTGTTACACAAAACACACGAGGGAATTGCTTTGTTTGGATTATACAATAGGTCCGAACGACCCATTACAGAGAGCGTAACTTCTGACTTCATGTCAGGAGCGCTAAAAACGTCAGAGGTCAAATGAAAACCGTTCAACAGTTAAGGCTGACTTTGACCCATTCATAAGCTCCTTTAAAGGATGGAAGAAAGATTAAACATTAAAGTGAAAAAATGTTTTGGCCCTTACTGACCACTGACGTTTTCTCTTTCAAAAAGACCGGATTTTAAATAGGATTAAATCTAGATTTTACAATGAAAGGTAAGTAAATACATATCTATTTTTGGTGCTACTAAAAAGGAGTGCACACTTCATTTTTTTTCAGTTTGACGCCTACTATAGTATTCTGAAAAGACTCAAATTATCAAACAAACTAGCTCTAACTTTGTGAAACACTCAAAGTGGCAGCACGCCGTGCCGAGAGAGCAGCGAAACTCAACGATTGGCAGGCGGAGGTGGTTGTTTCATGGAATTGTTCTTGGTAGAAAGTGGACATATCGGTAGGCACCATCCGCGAGAGACCGGCGCAGCCATCGTTTGGAAGAATCTGAGAAATATTTTCACCTCTCGCCAGCAACTCTTGCCATCCCTCGCCTTGAGTGACGTTGGGCTTATAGTTCCACAACACAGCGCGATCGTGACTGGTATTGAACGAAGCAGCACAGATGAGGGCGGTTATTAGAAAACAATGCTGCCTGAAAGGAAGGTAAAAGAAAATCTTGCCATCGGGTTACAATGCCACTCCTTAAATACGTCAGCGCACAATTTACGAAAATCTCAAATCCCCATGAAAAATAAGATGTATTTTAGAGATCTCATAATGCATACAAAGAAAAAGTTGATGCACAAACATAAAAGGTACACCATTCTTTTTGACAGCTGATGCTCGCTAATTATTTATAGACAAATTGTTCAAAAGCAGCAGGAAAGCATCAAAAATACCTTTTTTGCAATGAACTTCTTGAATCGATTTAATGCAAAAAATTAAAGAATCTGAACGTTTATTGAAAGATTGAGTAGGATTTACCACCGGAGATCGTGTAATGTGTGCAAACGACCCAATAAGGTGCTTCCCAAGATAGTACACATTTGCGTTTTAAAGAACGTCTCCAAAGAGTCATATCTGACATCCGATTATGCTTCAAAGCATAGTCGTCTTTAATTGTGCATTTCACCCAATTTTTATTAGCAAGCCTCAATTGGTAAGATATATAGTCTACCTGGACAGGTGGACCCCAAAATTTCTCATAGGTTCTGATGATCCAATGGATGTGATCAGCCTCAAATACCTTCGAAAAATACGGCGGCCTACATAAACATGACTGAGAATTTCCATAAATAAACACTATCCACTGCGGACAAAAATGGAATTCCTCTACCTCTTACTAATCTAAGCACAGACCTGCGGTACCAAGACCTAAGTTTCATATCTCTGAGTCTCTTGGTAGACTTGACACAGCGATGTGTCACTCGTAGACAGGGAAACCCCATAAACTACCTCCAAAATGAGTCCTAATCGCAGACAATGGGTATCATATTTCAACAATGCGGCTTCAAACAAAGCCTACACAGCCCCATGGCTGTGTAGATGTCTAAAGTGACAAAATAACTGAAACGAAGGCTAGCATACTAATTACCCATGCAATGACTGTTGGCAAGCGATTCTGGACATTAGAGTCGTACCAAAATTTCAAGCCCGTTCAGTAGCACTAGTTCTCTTCCCTCGGAATGCTCATGCGTGTACTGTCGTTCAAGCGCAGGAATTATAGTGTTGCACTTTGCTATGGTCCTATTCCTCGATGAAGAATAGTTTCCTTTGGTCTTAAGGTTCAAAGTATCGAGTTTACTTTTGTAAACAGGATTCGTTTGCACAACTGCTGAGTCTGGCGTAGGAGGAAGACACATTCACAACGAGGGCAGTTAGTTCAATCGAAATTATGTAACAGTAAGATAAGCGACTTTCCTTGTTTATGGAGGCGTTCAAAAAAGGCTTCATTCAATACATAAAATAACTTCATAGAAAATCAGATCACATCAGAAAGTACTTCGACGTAGGCTAATGTTCCGTTTTTAAGACTTCCAAAACTCACTGTGTTTCTTGATAAATCTCAGGATAGTGGTTGCTACATGGTCTTGTGAGTCCTTATCTGAAGCACTCTCAACGAGACAGAATGAGAAGATGCTTTGAAAGCAAAAAAATAAAGACACAAGTGCAGTGGGGTACTGTGGTAACAAGATCGTCCACTCGAATTTGCCACCAAAATCAAACTCAAAAGGCATTACTTACAACATGGTATATGTGATAGCCATCGATTCGGATGCCAATAATCGTATAAACAAGCCCGGGGCCTGAAGTAAGATGCAGCAGGGAGATATGCCAATCCGCAATGTACCCAAAGCAGGTGGACTACATAAAGTTCACAATCCAAAGGTTGGGGGAGGAAATGAGAGGGGAAGGAGAGACCGACCGTATGTGAGGATGGCTTAGTCCATGTCAGTGGCTATAGCAGCAGTCTTGGTTGCGGCCACAGTTTCTACGGTTTGTGTGTGCAGGTGTGGAATGACGGTGTGCCCGAACGCGTTGTGTGGACGTTGAGTGCGAGCATGTGCGCAGAAGCCGTACAAACCCCACCCACCCCTATCCAAGCCTAAGAGGGTTGCCCTAGAAAATGGAGCAAAATGTTGCTGCGCTACCTCTGCGATCATTTACTCCGCCCTAGGCCCTATGAGTGAGGAGTGTGCATTTATCATTGGTGATTTTCGATGTGGTCAAGTAAAACCTCCTTGTCATGATGTCCTAATCAAGAAAAATAAATGAATTAGAACAAAAGCGTTCCTCTTATTACAAATGCGTTTTAAAATTAAAATATGCAGCACAAAAGGAAACCGATGAAACAAATTACGAGGTAAACCTATGCTGACAGATCTTACCTAAGAGGCTCATGTACTCTGAGCCTATGAAAAAAGTGGATAGCAAGCTTTCCTTTTGATGTTCGTGCGTGCGCTACTGGCACTCATTTAAGTAGCATTGACCCGAATACTTCAGGGATCATAATGAAGATTACGCAGGAATGAGTGAGGAGGAATGCATCAAGAAATAGCAACGCACTTTAGTAGCATTGCGTTGATACGAAAGGATAATCAACAGGAAGTGAAATATAGAAAGGTGGAGTGCAACTCACTGACAGACAAGAAATTCACGCGGAGAGAGAAAGTGCGTGTCAGGGTTCACGTCAAAGCTGTTGAGATCTTCAATGTAGGCCTCAACCTCAAGGCAACGAGGAAAGACGAGGAGACAGACAAGCCGCTTGGCTTGTTGCAAACAGCGGAGGTGTGGACTGGAAGGCGGTGTGTTGGGTGGCACGAGGGAATCCCATTTGCGAAACGCAGAGGCCAGAATTTGATTCGTACTCTCAGCACGCAAGAGGCGCGAAGTCGAGACTGTGTAGACACTACCTGCAGGGCTTTCTGCTTGCAAAATGCTGGAGCACACAGAGGGTGTTGACAACACAAATGGCTGGCAGGCTGATCTACGATTCAAATCATAATGAGATGTATTTCACAATGGGGATGCACACAACGTACAGTTTTGGTAAATACTCCTTCGGAACTGAACACTAGCATACTCCGAGTTAGCCAAAGCTATTTAAAGTGCTCCTAAGAAACGCGGATGGTGATCTCTATCAATAACATTCGACCAAATTCAATATTCTACTCCAAAACCATCCGAATTTGCACTTGAAGTAGGTCGTTGGAATTACTACATGACCCGCCAAAAATGGTTGGAGAATAGGATGGTAAAGCTGGAGCAGAACAAAATGCTAAACATTTTACGCGGTTCGAAGAACACAAATTCGAATAATTCGCTCATCCATGAAAATTGAACTCTTTGTTCGATGTTGAATCTACTTTTCATCGTTTCCTCTAAAGGCTCAAACTCACCCGCTAATGCAACCTGGACAGTCAATGGATGCTATAATGGGTATTTCACAGGGCTACAAAGTACTCATAAATTTCTTAAAACGAGAAAAGAAATAGTCTTTTTTCTATACCTATTGCTATCCAAAAAAACCAATATTAAAACGGAGATGTCAAACAGAAGTCTTGCGCAGAACAATAATTGGTAGCACTGGAAGTTTTGAAATAACTTACCGATCGCTAAGGTGATTCAAGTGTGTCTTCGCATGGATGCCTAAAGTAATCCAATAAAATGGGGTGAATAATGGTGGCACTAACGCCGGTAATAGCAATGGTGGACGTTCGAAAGTACGTAGGGAACTGGTCAAGTATGTCCAGACGCCTATAATAATGAAGACTCACATGAACCAAATTTCGACCGTGGAATCTAAGAAGCAACCAACAGCATCATTATCGCCGTCAGCAGCGGTGGGAGGGGGGAGAGAGGCAGATGAAAAAGGAGCTCTAAGCGGGTCAAGGTGTACAGATCACATGTTTTTTTCTTTCACATTCCCCTTGCAGCTTCTTTCACCACGCTCACCGCTCCCTAATACGGTTTCTCACGGAACGCCTTTACGTTTTTCCAAGTGTCCATGCCACAACGACAACTCTTTCCTATCTCCTCCCTGCTAAACTCAGCCAAGACCAATGTCATTGGGGTAATGCAACAATTGCCTATGACATCTGAGTTGATGCGGTACAGAAAACGTATCCCTTCACTAAACAATGTTGTTGGTGTAATTTTTGCAAATAAAATCAAAGAGATAGGGTGCACTTTGATGAAGTCGTTATTCTTCGTAGGGGAGCCAAGAGGCAACTTTGACTACTCCAGTTACAGATCAAATGAACGGATTCTTAAGCTAATGCAGAAATACAAAATTAGTGTTTCCTGACATTAGATATGAAAAGGCCTGAGACGCGACAATACTGCCATATAGTCTTAGAGAGAGGGACATTCGGGGGTTAAAGACTCTTAGATAGCGAATGCATACTAAGTAAAAAGGGCCTACAGTTGATTAAGTCAACGAGCAAATGTAGGCCACAGGGCCACTGACGTAGAAAGCAGCTTAATGAATGCTGTGGTAGTCAAATAGTTTGTCCACATACTTCTGTATGAGAAGACCAGTTGAAAGATTCTCAGTGTCTAGGTTGCGAAACTAGATCGACGAAATATAAAGATAGTTTGTTTTTAGACATGAAATGCTGGACAAATGGGACGAGTTTTGTTCAACTACGACCCAATTTAGGCGACAAAACTGAGTTTTAACATTTGAAAGCAATTAAATGTGACCGTAGTTCAATACACTGTCTGGCCGTGAACTGATGGAGAACGCCTCAATGTAACCAGCAGAAAGGTAGGACTCAGTTATCACTCGCAACATGTTCTTATTAGCTTGTTAATGCCATCAAGTAATGTTTGAAGTCGCCATTGTGTTTTGGAGTTGTTTTCTCACCGTAAACAGTATTCAAAAGTAGTATGACGTCTAGACTGTTCAATGGTTTAGTAAATAGGATGAGAAAATCCAATGCATCTGAAAGCCAAGGTAATATAAAATCCAGATTTCATGTAATCAAACTACAAAGACAACTAGAGTGTAAAGTCAACAAAATATCCAGCTACCGGAGCATCTTCCAAATTTCGGAAGGTAACGGAAGGTCCCACTCACCAGGCTCTACACTCAAAAAGGCGGAGGCTCTCTCCTCCCCAGCGGAATTGAATGCACGACATTCAATTAACGTATCGTCGAATACTCTCACACTTTTCCGCGGCCATTTCTTAAAAGCAATAAACAGTAGGATACATTAGCTCATTCGTGTTCGTATATCGCACGGTAGTCCGATCATGGTGGTGAATTGTTTAGACTAATTAAATCGCACCTCACCGAACACAGAGAAGACTGTCTCAAAGTTCACCATCGAAGGTTCCGTTTTGGTGATGTTCTCAAAAGAGTCGTCAAAGAAACGAATGGGAACATATGGATCTCAATAGGCTCGTATAAGTAACTCATAAGACTAACATCAGCAATTATAGAGTGCATTTCACCGATGAAAACAGTAAATTCAAACTTTCACAGATGACTTGTGATCTACAGAAGGATTTTGGTGAGAATATTAACGTCTTGGTGAATCCTAATCTAAGTGAACTAATAGTAGAAAAGTTGCTGATAATCAATGTTACTTGCAATGTTGATTAGCTATTATCGTGCTAATGTAGTTTGTGCCTGAATCAAAGGGGCTTTTCGTGGCTCTGCACACACTTGCGTTGAAACGTGTAAATTGCGCATCCGGAAAGACTTAGTAACACAAAATTGTTAAACATTACGATTCTTACAAAGACGGCGATCAACAAACTTTACCAGTCATAAGAAGGGAGAGAATGTGAACAATTTATTTGTTAAAAAAACACCCCAGATGAAAGCTAAAGTCAATACGGTTAATGGAAAAGTTTCAACTATAAAAAGCCTTGGTAAGACGATAACTACGCAAAAAAACCAAAAATGGGAAGCACATCCACTTGGATTAGTTTTAGACAAACAAGCAATTAAACGATAGAGGATCGCTTGCACCGCATTAGAGAAGCATTCAAATCAGCATAAGAGCTCATAATATACAAAAAGTCTCAACTAAGAGCTAGACTTCAACTTAACACAGCCGTCCTCTGTTGCATAGAAACAGTTGAGAGTGCTTACCCTACCATCGACTTTGATTTCTAGCGTCGATTCAATACCACCTGCCACACAGGGTATTACATACTGCTCATTCCGTGCGACGGTCACATTCCTTAGATTATGTTCAAGGAATGCGGGAACTAAAGGAATTAAGAAAAGTGGAGCAATCAGCTGCCCAGTAAAGTTACTAAATAAGTAATACTATACATTTTAAGTGCCACAGAAAGCATAACGACAAAACCGTTTATGATAGTCCCAGTTTGATGCGTTTAATTTTCGCCCAATAACAACAAGTGATTTATTCATCCAGAGCACACTCGAAGAATCCTGCTAAACGTACCGTTGGATGATCTAAGTACCAGAGATAAGGATATTGCTTAAAGATTAAGGATGCTGACCATATATACCGATATTTGTAAAAAATAGCTAAAATGGGGAATTTGGGACGGCATAGAAGCTCGAAAAACGAAAAATCGGAGAAGCATGACAAAACTAACGGTATCTAAAGTACTCTTAACAGTATAAAAGTGGAATGATCAACAAAAATGCACTCATCACAGAATGGAAGGAAACACCGTAGACTACCATGCCCGCGTAATGACCAATAAATCAACCAAAATTTGCAATGCAAGCGTTCGCAATAGGTGCAAAACAATGTTCGAAACCTACAGATAGGAGCTATTACATAGGACAGGAGTGGCCCTTCAATTTCTGTTCCATTCGGAAGGATAGTAAAACCTTGACACCTGTAGGCGTGATTCACATCACTCTTGCGAGCAACAATCGTGAGAGAACCGTTGTGCTCGTGCAACTTTAGAAACGGCGAGGAGTCCGAGGTGATGAGATCGTAGTTACAGTACCATTCCCACCGTGCCTTAATTGACCCAGCGACCTCAGGAATTGGGCACGGATTAAGAGTGACTGTGTCGTTTTCTTTGACGGAATAAAGGATTTTCGTAGCAAAACTCAGCGCGATTTGGGAAAAGAATGCAAGTACGAGACCCTTGACAAGTGAATCAAAGACTGTTTTGACAAAGAGTTCAAGATACTTGACCTTGGTAGTAGGTAAAATTACGGAGTTGAAATTGGTGTATGCAAACGCATCACTAAAGGCACCCCACCACGAACCTCAGACATCATAGTTTATCAGAGTACTACAACATTCAAGGGCAATAGCCCACAAAATGCAAACTAATGTGTACCTTAGTTCTACTAATCAAAGTCGGGGGCCTATTACCATTTAAAGTATTTCGTGAATATACATAAGAACAGCAAAATTCAACAAACACTAATGTATAAGTGCGTAAAATTACCTTGAAGTTCATGTTGCTGCGGAAAAACAGCAATAAAGACACCCAGGACATCCAAATTTATCGTAAAGCGAACGCAACTATTCAATCGCAACGGATATCAAGAATTATGCCATCCAAGCTATAAGACGAAGCACAAGGGCGAAGGCGTATGAATGAGGGTTAGGGGTATCCTCTAGTGGATGTTGCACCAAGCATAAAAGCTCCCAACGTCAGACCAACAATTGGGGGGCAGAAAGTTTGTGACTCGCGGCTGTAACATCTCGTGATTTCATTTGATGCAGCTAAAATTCTATTCATTACTAGTTTAACGCTATTTAGTACCTTTATCACAAAAAAAGAATCATTAAAAATTTTAGATATATCAAAACTTGACAATGTTTGAACAATACATCTAAACATTAGGCGTCATGTTACCATATAAACCGCAAATTCATGAATGTGTGATGTTCAGTGCTAAGAAGAAAAAGATTGCATGTGATACAACATGACGAACCTTAAACAAAGTGTGTTCTCCTCATCAAGTAAGGTTACTGACCAATATCATCGTCATTGCAGCCTTTCTTCACTGAGGGGTAAACACAGTTTTGACAGAAGCGTGTTGACAAGAGTGTGAGAATTTTACTTGTTGCAGTAATTTAACTGTATGCGTTTTAACTCTAACGTTTTCCTAAAGCTAGTGTTATATCAGTGGGGATGAAAAACGTTGATTTTTTGTTGGATGATGTCAGAGCAAGCTTAGCTTAACTCAACTGCTTCTACCCTTTCGCCATCTTATAAAAATCTGGAAAATTAAAAAAAACAGTATATCAGTAAGAAGTTTAAGAGGAGGCACATTACTTTGCTTATGTAGCCGCCTAATGTTGGACGGTTACTTTAATATTCGTCTAGCTCTTGCGTGCTTGAGCTGACCTTTGGGCCATGTCAAGGCTTGATCCTTTTGTTCTTTCTAAAATACATGTATTTGCTGTAGCATTCCGAGGCTTCCTACCGGGTGGAAGAAGGCAGTAAGTAAGACTGGATACATGCGTTCCAAAGATAATGAAGGGACTGTGTCTGAGCATGGCCTGAAGACTAGCCAACACATACAAGGACCAGACACATTTTAAAGTGATCCGCGAACGTTAGGTAGTCGCATGAACAAAGCATTGCAATCAGTGTAAGTTCTTTAGGACTTATTATTAAGGAAAAAGAAGACATTAAGTTAAGCTGTACCATGCATTCGGGTATAAGAGGAAGTACTGACATTTGGCTTGGTCTGAAACCTAAAAAGGACGCGTAAAAGTGCGAGCCATATAGAAAATACTGGAGGTCACGTAAAACGATATTGCATGACCCCTCCTTTTTGAGACAAAAATTCCAGCAACCTCAGTCATCAGCTACCATGGGAATGAGGGAAGATACTTGGCCTTACCAAGCAGCTTCAAATGAACTGTCGTTGTGCCTTCATGCAATAAAGTTTTGTCGGTCTTTAATCGAGTCCGGACCAGACCTAAGTGAAATGCTTTGTTTGTGGGACAACCAGAGATTTGGTGATCACTTTTCGATTTTTCTGACCCGTTACATGTAAGCTTGCCTTCGGGTCATGCTCAGGCTCAGT